GTAACATATGATCTAAAAATAAAATGACAGACGACGTCGTTCTTCATCTTGGTCACGCTGGTGCCATTGATTGAATTCGCGTGACAATTCATTGACTCGTTCTAAAAACGAATCATCCAAATTAGTGGGTACCTGACTATACCCAAATCCTTGAGTGTTAGTGTTTTTTGTGGTCCTAATCCAAAATCCCCAAAGCTTGTCCATCCTTCATGCTCATCTACACTATCGTGCTCATCCCTACCCTCTTGTTGTTGGGACTCGATATGTCAATAATTTAGCTGGGATTGGGTGGCCTCAGAATCATCATCTCTCTCATTTCCCCTTGGACCCCCTTCCCACTCTCCCTCATTAGGTGTAATATCACCGACAGCTCCGACGAATTGTGGATATGTTGGCGGGCTGCTTCCTCTTTCATGCTGCTCATCACCTTCTTCAAGATCTTCCTCACCGATAGCCTCAAGTAACGCTCTCTTGTACAACACTAGCTCGTCTTCTTCTACTACCCATTGTTCTGTTGTGTTTGTGACAAATATTGTGTCAAAATCTATCGGCCCATAGTCTTCAAGCTTCCTTCTTATTTGTCTCTCTCAGAGGTTTAAGTTGTAATGAACGTAGACTAGTTTATGAAGCTTCTCAGAAGCGAGTCCATTCTTACTAGTAGTGTGCAACCATTGGAACGTACTCCAGTTTCGTTTACAGCCAGCAGTAGAACATGTCTGCGAGAGCATCTTGATTGCTATCCTCTTTAGGTGAGGTGCATCACTACCATATATCTCCCACCATTCAGCTGGATTAAAATGTAAAAAGCATTGTAAAGGCAAGAACAATTCATAAGATTACATATATGAATGAACAAAATATTAGTTGGGGGATAACCTGGATCTATCTTAGTTCGAGAATTCCTGACAAGTCTAGTTCTGAAAGATCCTATAACATCCTTATACATTGCAAGCTAAAACAAAATTTCGTTTTAGTGTATTATTCCTCACAAATATAACAACTCAATCAAGTTCTTACCCAAATATTAAATAATACCTCTTGTATTGCTGCTACCTGGTTTCGATAGCTTCTCTCCAACCTGGCAATAATGTATCTGACCCCTTCCATAATCTTGTGGGGATGTTCAGGTATCAAATAGAAAAATTTTGGGTTGAAGTAGTAACCGAGAAAATATATATATAGATAGAGAAATATCATTTAAAATTTCATAAAAAAATAATTTAGAATGAAACATTCTAATGATATAAATATATATTTACCTGCATAATGAATTGGACGTCCAAATTTAGTGTTCCACCTTCTTTCTATAATCTCGATCACTTTACTAGCAAAACTACATTTCTCCCCAATAGTTGATTTGACCATCTCGATACCTTCATAAAGGATGCCCATGGTAGCTTTTTTGTCAGCATCCACCATTCTTAACACCGTGACCAAAGAGACAGTGGCCTCTACGATACTGGAACATCGAGATCAGAACCTCCTACTTGAGACTATGCCGACTTTTAACTCGATACTGGACTTCGAGAGGCGGTTATGTAACCACTCCCCACTGGTAAACAATTTCTTTATTGCACCTTCAAATTCTCAAATGGAGTCCACCGCCAAGTAATATGTTGCAAATCGGGTTATGCCTGGCCTGATTATCTTTTTTTTCTTAGACTGATATCTAAACAAAAATAAAATTTTATAATGGTTATATATAATTCTTGACACCAATCTCGCTTCTTATAGAGTCTCCTTTACAATTTTGATCTCACCGATCTCCTTTAACATAAGATCAATGTTATGTGCAGCACACGGGGTCCATACTAGATGCTTTCTCTTATCCATCAACTTACTGCCCACAGAAACACATGCGTGCGCATTGTCTATAATAAACTGGACTACATGCTTATCTCCCACCTCTTCTACTATCTGATCATATAGTCGTACGTAGAAGTTTGTATCCTTCTTCGTCCCTGATACGTCTTTGCTAGACAAAAAAACTAAACCTTTTTGGGGAATAGGCCAAGAAGTTTAAAAACTCCTTTTTGCTAACTTTATTTAACCAACCATCACTCATGAGAGTAATGCCTGTTCTTGGCCAACTCTGTTTATATTCTTCAATTCACTTTCTAACTTCCTCCACCTTTTCATCCAATATTGGCCCACTGAGCTTATATGTCATCGGAGGTTTTACCCCGGGCCCGGCTCTCTGGATTGCGTTGATCATTGGTGGAAAGTATGGGCTATTGGATGCATCAAAGGGGAGCCCTTTATTGTAGAATCATTTAACAACATATCTGCCCAACATGTTTCCCGTACCTGTCACCATGCCTTTGAGGGTCATCTGTTCTGACTTAGGCTTTGAGAGAAATGGGTCTATACGACCTGACCTGCAATACTGGCACTCCTAGATAAGCTAGAAACAATTTCTTCAATATCTGATTCCTCTTGATACATATTGCCACCAATCCCTCCATACATATTTGAGCTGGGCCCGCCATACATGCTCGAGCTAAGCCACGTCATGCAGGTCTAAGCTAGGCCCACCATGCATGCCCATGTCATAACCACCAGGCATTCTAAAGACGTGTTCCCTCTGGTATGTTTCTTGTAAACTCATTCTTGTGGCCATCTCCAAGTCATTATTATATTGTTCTTTTGGATCATTCCCGTTTGATAGCGTATATAAACTAGCTATCTCATCATCCATCTTCTGTTTTACAATTTTTTTGCCTTTGGTAGCCTTGAGAAATGCCGTCATATCCTTTCTTACATTATGAGGGACACTATTGTACGCAGAAACATCTCCCTTAACTCTTGCCAAGTGTTGCTTGAACCTATGTACCCCGCTACTTATCACTCTTTAGCAGTAATTACAAATAATTTGTCTTTTTTGTTGGGATCAAGTCTGACTCCATGCTGCCATGCAGGGTCTTCCACAGATCTTGCCATAGTTCAACTGTTTCAATATGTAAATGGTTAAACATTAACCTGCAGTTCAACATGAAAAATAATCACCATGTATAGTGATAATATATAGGGGTAGTTCATGAAGTTATATTTGTTGTTAATGCAAAATATTTCTATTGATAAAAATATTTTAGTTCCTATTGGGAAATATAATTTATTTATGCAATATTATAGATAAAGATAGCCTATATCAGCCACTACATATAGAACAAAAAATTTACATTCATATAGTATCAATAAAAAATATATTTACAATGGTATAATAATTCACAATGCCAATACATATGGACTTGTCACAAATCTTCATTTCGACAAACATGAATTAGTTCCTACTGAGAAAAAAAAATTATTTATGCAACATTATAGATAAAAAAAAGTTTCTATAAGTCACACTTAGAATCAAGAAAAAAATTACAATAATATAGTCATCCATAATGCCACTACACGTATATTTGACACAAAAAACATTTACAATGATATAGTCATTCACAATGCCACAAATAAAATTTACAATGATATAGTGGGCACAATCCCAACTCAATTGAAATGATCACAAATAGTCGTACATCTCAATTACAAATATGCAAGATAATATAATAAAAAATGTAAGCTCCAAACATGGCTACAACTCAATTATCAAGAACATACATTTTTTGCATTAAAAATTTAATAATAAAATTGAAAAAATATAACATAATATAATTATCATACATGCCATGATTTTTTTACAATGATATTCACTTTAATTCCTCATGATAATACAGTTTAACAACATGTATTTTTTGCATTAAAAATTTAAAAAATTAAAAATACATTTTTTAATTCAAAACTGCGTTAATAATATAATACAGTTTAACAACATGTATTTGTTAATGTATTTTTTTGCATTAACGACAAATTTTAAAAATATAGTTTTGCATTAAAAAATATAATAACATGTATTTTTTTGTATAAATAATCTATCAACATGCAATTTTTTGAACTAAAAATTTAACAATAAAAATTTAAAATATTGTTTAATTCCTCATGATAATCAAAACCTGGTCACGATTTTCACAATTTTTCGAAAAATCACGATTTTTCAAAAAAATTAATAATGAATTAAAAAAAAAAGAAAAAAAAAGGCAGTTCTTCATAGACCCACCTAACATCAGTCATTCCAACTAAAAAATCCGCCTCAAATCGAATAAATTACCTCAAATTGAATACATGTTTTGATAAGCAACACTATAAGGAATTAAAGCCCTATAATATTAACACATTATTATTAAAAAAATTAAATAAAATCGATTGAATTGAGGGAAAAAAAAAAAACCCAATTCTTCATCAGTCATTCAAGCTCAAATCAAGCTCAAATTGAATAAATCAGATCAAATTGAATACATGTGATGATGAACAAGACTATAAGGATTCAAAACCCTATAAATTTAACACATTCTTTGTAAAATATTGAGTAAAATTGATAGAATGGCAGAAAAAAAAAAAAAAAACAGACCGTCTATTTTTTCTTCACAGACATCAGTCCTTTTTTCTCAAAACTCAAGCTCGAATTGAATAAATAAAATCAAATTAAATACATGTAATGATAAACAACATGATAATTAAATCAGACCCTATAAATTTAACACATTATTTGTAAAATATATAGTGAATTTGATAGAATGGCGGGGAAAAAAAAAAAAAACACAGTTCTTACCTGTTTTTCGTGCACCCGTGCCTTCGAATTCAAAATTGATATTTATTCCTCCAAAATAAACACAACTTATGAACAAAAACTTCTGAACAACACTCTTACGATCAATCACCCTGAAATTTTACAAAAAAATGATGCCCTCTTTCGCTTGAAATCAGTGAAATAGCGGAAACCCTAAAACTCACTCTTCGATCCAAATTTTTTTGATCAAAATCGGTGATTTTTACTACCTTTTATTGACTGAAATGGCTGAAAACTTTAAATTAAAGCCTGCAAGATTCGATTTTAAGGCTGAAAAAGATGAAAAATGATAAGAAAATGATAAAAAAAGATGAAATCCGTGAAGAACACTGTGCAACCCATATTCTTGAGCGAGTTAATGGTGAGACTCGATGATTTACTATTGGGAATCACTCGGTTCTATCTAGACACGGGCGATTCCCGGTATTCAAGTGGAACCGGCACGGGGTATGCCGATTCTCGAGTCGAACCGAGCGAATCCGGTTCGACTCGCCGAGTTTTCAAACCCTGCTTTGGAGAGAGAGGGTGTAGGGCATCTCGGCAGGTGACTGGGCGAGTCGGTGGACCGGAAATAATGGGTGCTAGAGTGAAGTTTGAAAGAAAAGCGGGTTTTGAAAATGACAAAGGCGCTAACACCGGGCCTTCGGGTTTTTCACTTTGCACTTTTTTATGGGAAAGGTTTATATACTTCCCCTTCCCCTCATAGAAAGATTTATGCTTCCTCTACCATCCAATCGTCCAATTTTGATCAAGAAAGCCACTCACCGTTTGATCTTAGATCCAACGTCTCAAAATATTTTATTTTTAATTTTTTTATACAAATTATATGAATATGAAATTTGGTGCATGTCATCTTCTCATTGGGGTGCACCTATAAAAATATTAAAAATAAATTTTTGATAAAATATAATGACCAAATACCCCTTGAAACTTTTAGGGGTATTTTGGTTATTTTATTTTATTAGAAATATTTTTTAAATATTTTTTGCTCGTGTGAGTTTAATAGAGGATTCGATGTGTACAAACGTGACATTGTGATTGGGGCAATCTTAGCCCTCCATTCAGAATGGATAGTTGGATAAGGGGAAGTATATAAGTTTTATGTTGTAGGGGAAGCATATATAGCTTGCCCTTTTTTTTGTTGGGTTGTGTGACAAATATACGCTGCCTATTTAAATCAGCAGGGTCAGAAGGCTGCAGCCCAATTCCAATTAATAGGGCTGCAGCCCTATAAAAACTGCATCCTTCAAATAATAAGATCAAAGCTCAGTTAGTTTCAAAGAGTTTTACTCAAAAAAAGAGAGTCATGTTCACATTATTACACAATTAGAGTTAAGTTCATATCCATTAGAATAATTTTGAAAATTGGTCTTCACTATGACATTTAACAATACCAAATGGGTTTAAGATTCATTTTTTAATATAGGGGTGGCAATGGGTTGGGTTAGGTAAGATTGTGTCGGGATTGGATCCAGACCTGAAAAAAAAAAAAAATTGTTCTTTACATAGCCATCTTACATAAGCCATTTTAACCAAAAAATCCATCTCTAAGTGAATAAATTACATCCAATTGAGTACATTTTCTGATAAATAACATTATAAGGAATCAAAACCATAAATTTTGAACACATTATCATCAATAAATCAAATCAAATCGATTAAATTGAGCACAAAAAAAAACGCAGTTCTTTTCTTCACAAACAGTCATTGAATCTAAAAAATGAAGCTCAATTTGAATAAATCAGATCAAATTGAATACATCTAATAACGATTAAAAACGTTAGAAATCTAACACATTATTTCTAATATATCATGAACAAAAAATCGAAAGGCGGACAAAAAAAAAAAAACAGTAGAATTTTTTTTCCACAGACATCTCTGTGTTCATCTAAAAATTCATGCTGTAATTGATCAAATTACATAAAATTGAATATGTTAAATCATAATAGGCACAATAAAGATTAAAAACCATACAAATTGAACTCATTATCTTCAAAATATGCAGTGATATTAATCATATGGCGGAAAAAAAAAAAACCCAAACTTCTTACCTGGTTTTGTGAACCGGAGCCTTCAATCTTCAAATAACTCTGTTTTTCTCAACGATTATCACAAATTCGTAACAGAAAGTTTTGATGAACAACTTTACGATCAAAATGCCTACAAATTTTGACAGATTCATGCCCTATTTGGCATGAAACACAAGGAAAGGCGAAAACCCTAAAAGTGCAACTTTCGTGATAAAAAAACACAAAATTTTTCAACCATTTAATTCGTGAAAAAGCTGAATAAAGCTGTTTAAAGCCTGCATATTAGATCACATGCCAAAAAAAACAAGAAAAATGATAAAAAAATGACAAATTTTGAAGAATCCCGTGAAGAACACTGTGCAGCCTCGTGTTTTTCACGGGACTCGCCGATTCCGTACAGTGAATCGGCGAGTCACTGTACAGAGTCGCCCGGTTCTCTCTAGAACTGGGTGATTCCCGATTTTTTGAATGATTTGAGACGCCTACTGTCGATTCCCGAATCAAACCGGACGAGTCCGGTTCGACTCGGCGTTTTTTTAAACAATGATTTGGATATAAGAATTGAACTTGAGATGTAGCCTGCTGACCGACCGTCAGGTAGCAGCACTCCGGTCCAAGGTCGATTCCTAATAGCCAGTATACTCTCGCGGGAACAGGAACTCATTTGACTTTAGACCGCACACATTTCACGTTGCCACTGATTTTTCAGTCCTCTTGCCCGTAAACTGTTCGATGGCATAAACTGACGGTTCTGATGAACCACTGTCTTAAGTCCTGTCAGTTTTTAGCCTCTCAATGAGCGGTAAACGACCCTCTATCTCCCAAACCTCCCGCTCGTTTCTTTGATTTTAGGACTTGCTTCACTAATGGCTTCTTCCTGTACACCTCGCATCATCGCCGTTACCCCATTCCTTGTAAACCCTAAAACCTCTCGCTCTCCGTCATCTCTCTCTCTTCTCTCTACACCACTGTTCCATAGAGAGATACCCAACCTATCATGCAAAAAACCAGGTACTCTCTCATGCTTTCCCCTTAACTTTATCTCACCATTCTCAGTTTCCGATTTTTTCATCATATTACTCTCTCTCTCTCTCTCCCCGTCCCCTTCTAGCTATTTCTGTGTTTGTTTCTTTTTTTTTTGTTATTTTTCTTGACGTTTTTCTGGTATTTTATATTGCCATTTTCCTATTCCTTAACTCTAGTTGCTAGTTGACACTGTGATCAATAGCATCAATAGGAGCCAGGAATTGTTCTCTATTTTGCTTTGGTGTCTCATTGAATATTTTGCGGTTTCTGTATTTTCATCTGATTGCCCTGGGATTAGTTACTCTATGTATGCCGATGGACTAAATCCTTTTTCTCGTGTGATTCGGTTTTCATTCTCTTTTTTATTTTCCTTTGGATTTTTTTTGTTTGAGACAATCTGCACAATTGGGGGCTTCGTGAACTATCTTGAGCAAGACTGCCATGCCCTTTTAAATTGGACAATTTCCGATGATATATGTCAAAAAAGCTTGTGTGTACTGTGTTTTTTTGTTAATCAGCTCTTTCAATTCTACTATCAAAATGTAGTACTTCAAAAAAAAAAAATCTCCTATCAAAATGAGGTTTAATGCTCTTAAGAGTTCTTCTCACTTGCTGTTCTTAGGACTGACGGAATAGGTAAGTAATTTCTATAGTTCTTCTCACTTGTTACTCACTTCTCAGTGATTGAGGGGATGTGGAAATAAAGAATTTTATGAAACTTGATTATTTTGGAGTTATTTTTCTCATTGGAAATTTATGTTAGTCTCTAACATGGTCTGAGTTAGATAGGAGTACTCCAAATAGTATGGATCTTTAATTTTATTAAGATGTTAATTGTCCTGAAAGTGTCCAAATTACTGTGATCTAAGATCATTGTAGAACATGTATGCGGTTTTCTCTTCTCGTGTGTTTTTTTGCTAAGGAAAATGTAGATGTGGGCCTGTGGCTTTCTCTACTGTGTCATAATGAAGTGAACAGATGGTGTCTATCATTTCTTATATGGAATTAGTTCTCAACTAACACAAAAAGAAAAAAAAACTAGCAATGGATTTGAAAAGAGAGCTGCAAAATCACCCTACATGTCTATGAATGGTCAATTTACACCTGACTAACTCAAAATTGAATGTTTGATGGAATGTAGCCATAAGTAAATACATGGAATCTGTGTATTTACATTCATTGTACAGCATAGTAAATTTAAATGCATTATCCTTGAAGAAATGAGAGCTGATTCTAAGAAATAGGGTAGAAAGCAGAACATGTATGTTTCTCTAAAGTTGGGATATAAGATCATAGTGGTCTCTGAAATATGTTTCTTGATAACATGTTTTCTACATACTGCCAGTTTTCTCTGCTATTATGGTGCATAGAAGGTCTATAAGGTTATTCAATTTATAGAACAGAATGGTATTGTGAGGTCCCTGAGTTGCAATTTAATGGAATCTTAGTTTATGTATAAATGCAATGCAACAAATGATATGAAAAAGTGAGATACGAATAGAGGCTCTAAACAGAGTCACCGAAACACTCAAAGACACTTTGTATCCCCCTTTGCCTAAGAAATAATTAACTATCTGACTTTGTTCACTGAGGCCAGTCCCCATGTCAGCCAGTGACAGATATTCCATTTCAAGTGCTTCATCTTGCTCTTTTGCTGCTGATCTCTCTAGAAGCAAATACTCTGTCTTTACTATAAGGCGTCAGTATTGTTGTTCTTTTCTTACATTCTTATGTTTTCATTGTTTCTATCAGGGATTCAGTCTTGAACCCTGTCATTGAGATAGGGTGCACTGTATCACCAGACTTAGATGATCAACTTGTCACACTATTTTCATCTTTCCATACGAAAATCTAAGTTCTAACTGCAGAAAGTAAAAAGAGAGAATTCAAGTGTTCCAAAGAGCTTCATAGGAGCTCAAGCATAAAACCAAATAACGTTAGTGATCATCATGTGTTCTTTGTGGCAATTATAGATTATGCTTGTTGGTGAATTTTATGGCATTTCTCCTTCAGCACTTGTTCGTAGCAAATTTTTGTATGTGTTTGAAAGTTTGTTATGCACATTTTGTGTTTTCTGTTTATCTTTTATACTGTTGGATGCTACTTTCAAAGAGGGGTCTTTCAGAAAGCATTTTATTTTTAAACAGCATCTTTCTTTGATTTCATGCTCTATAAGCATTCAAGATTAAGGATGTGTCATCACAAATTGCAAATTGGAATTCCATATGTTGAGCATCTTTTGTGACCTCAAGTGCTGACTGTTTCTTCTTTTACTTAGGATTTCTATATTGTTCTTCTCGATTTCCTGGAGCCAGTACATCAGAAGAGACTTCAACTACAACCTCAGAAGAGCCAGACACCTCATCTGAGGGAGCTGCACCTACTAAGGAAGTAAAAATCCCTGAAGACGCTTCTGCTGGCAGTGACTTCCAAGCTAATGAACTTTTGGATGCCTTTAACTTAAAGGTTGGTGCTTTTAGAAGTTTTTTTTCTTATTGTGGCTGAATGAAACCCATGAAAAATTAATTTTTAATTCTATCTTTCAATTGTTGTGCATTTATGAAAGAAGCGCCAAGTGTGAGCTAATGTTGTTTAATTGATTGGTTGTCAATTAGTTCCAGGCTAGATACATCAGATTTTCCAAATTTTCTGTAAAACAATTATGTTTCACTTTTTCTGTGGAAAAGGAAACAGGGAATTGCTTTAGATTTTTTAAATCCAGAAAAGTAACAAGCTCTTTATTTAGACTGCATTGGGATATCTGTAAGTGTTTGTTCTGGAAAATGCTTTCTTCATGCTTCTCCCCATGGATTCCTTTTCCCTTTGGAGCGCATTTTATGACCCCAAATTCATTGTCGGTAGTGTTGCCTTGCCTCCAGTTTGTGTCTATTTCCAAATTTATTTTTGTGGCTTTAGCTACCCTTCTCTACATGTCCTAAAACTCCCCCCCCAAATGATCATATGGTGCTGTTGTTTATGAGAAATTAAATTTTGGAACATTTGTGCTTCCAATCCCCCTTTGAGGTGTTCTTGGTTTTATTTGATGTGTTTCGAATTCAACACAAAAAACAAAAAACAAAAAAAAGAAAAAACTAAATCAGTGCTATCCAAGTAATTATGGATTCTTCCAATTCCATATTGAAGCTTGCTTTTCATTCTACAAGTTTTTAAATGCAGGCATTACGTGTCTGACATAGTTAACTGAATCACAGTATCCTCAACAATCTTCAAACAGAATCCACAAATTGCTTCATGAATGGGAATGATCACACACTTAACTTTATGAATGGGAATGATCACACACTTAACTTCATGAATGGGAATGATCACACACTGAACTTTACATTACCCTTTACATTATCAAAGGGTAATGGACCGCCCAGTGCCTATGCGGTCTAGAAGGCCCGGGCACATCGCCTAGGCCTAGGCGGCCAAACTGGGCGGTGGTCCCTGGGTGGCCGCCTAGGGCCTGCGCCCCGCCTAGAAGCGGAAATGTTTTTTTTTTTTTTAAAGATATAAAAGGTTAGAAGGAGGGGATTTAGGTTCATTTAAAACCTAAACCTACAAGAACCCCTTTTAGAGAGAAAGAAACTTCAAGAAAACTACATTTCATTGGATTGAAGTGTCTCAAAGTTTGGAGTTCAAGCAGTCAAAGTAAGTGCAAAACTTTATTTTTAAGATTGATTGTTTTATTTTGATATGTCTTCTTGAGGAGTTAGTCGGAGTGGAGATCCGGGTTGGAAATGTGGATACAAGCCGAATCCAAATGACAAAAATTGCGTTAGATGCAATTTTTGTGAAAAAGATACAAAAGGAGGCATAAACATGTTTAAGAAACATCTTACTGGTATTAAGGGGGATGTTGCCCCTTGTAAAAATATTCCTAAAGCTATCAGAGAGGAGATTAAGCAATATATGAGTTCTAGAAAACAAAAACAGGAACAAAATCCTTATCATAGATCTATTTCTGCTACGTTTAAAAGAAGTGATCCGGGTTGGACGTATGGGTACAACCCAAAACCAAATGATAAAAATTGTCTAAGGTGTAATTTTTGTGAAAAAGATACCAATGGGGGTATTAGCCGATTCAAAAAACACCTTGCTGGTGTTAGAGGTAATGTTGCTTCTTGTACAAATGTTCCTGAAGCAGTTTGGGATGAGATTAGAGATCTTCTGAATTTAGATGAACTAGAAAAGGTTGAAAATAAGCCTTGTTCTATTGAAGTATCTTCTCCAGGTTCTAGTTGGAGTGGTGATCCGGGTTGGAAGTATGGTTATAACTCGAATTCAAGTGATAAAAATCGTATTAAATGTAATTATTGTGGAAAATATACTAGTGGGGGCATTTACCGGTTTAAAAAATATCTTGCCAGTATTAAGGGGGATGTTGCCCCATGTAAAAATGTTTCTGAGGCTACCAGGGAGAAAATTATACAATATTTGAGTTCAGAGAAGCACAAAGAAAATGGTAGAGCAGCCAAGACTCCTAGGGCCTTATCTGCACAGACTGCACATGCTAGTAAGATGAAGGTAGAAGAAGATGAGGAGGAAGAGGCAGATTCAGAAGAAACAGAGGAGGACGAGCGTTATATTGAAGAGGGAGATGACTCTGATGATGATGGCCTCGACTCTGATGCATATGATAAGGCTTGCCCTATTGATATTCCTTCTGATGATGATGATGATGACGACTGAAGACTCTTGCCTCTTGGTTCTGAGTGTTGAGTGTTGTTTGTTGTGTTGAGTCATGAGTGTTGACTTTTGTTAGGCTGTATATTTTCTAAATTTCTGTATATTTCTGTTGTATTGAGTGTTGACTTTTATATCCTATACTTGTATGGTTTTGCAGTTTTCTGTTTTAACAATATGGATTATCAAAATTCTCTTCTCGACATCTATCTTTTTTTTTTTCAACTTGGAATATGGTATTTGGTAACTTGGTATTTTTTGTCAATTGGGCAGCCGCTCAGGTTTTGGGCGCCCGCTTAGGCGCTGGGTGGCCTGGACCCCCCAGGTCGCCTAGGACCCGCCTGACGCTTTTTGCTACACTGATGGGAGTAGAAGATGTAAATTTTCGAAAGCCATGGTAAACAGAAACCTATTTCACAAACTGAATACCAAGTTGAACAACATTTGAAAAATGGTTGGATGCTTGATGGTATGCTTTTATGGAAAAACATAAACTTTCGTGTCATAGTGTGTTAACGAATACAATGAAGTCCTAGAAATTGCATGGTACCCTCACGCAATGTTCAAAAATTCGGCGGCCTGACCGCCTAGGCGAAAAATTTCAAAAAACGCTTAGGCGCTGTCTGGGCGGTGGAATTATGCAGCCTGTCTCCAGATGCGCACCTAGGCGGGCAAGGCGCCACCTAGGTGCTACAGTCTGGGCGCCCGCCTAGGCACTGCCCAGTGATAGTTTGCAGAAGGGCCAAAAAAAACCGTGACTTTTAAGGTGAGCAAAACCGTGGCTTTTAAGGTGAGCAAAACCGTGGCTTTTAAGGTGAGCAAAACCGTGGCTTTTAAGGTGAGCAAAAACCGTGGCTTTTAAGGTAAGAAAACTTTCCAAAAAACTACTCTTTTATGATTTATTGAAAGATCGATAAAGTTTTGACTTTTGCGATTTCTTCCCAAAACAAAGGCAATAGTTCATGGGTGGATTTAGAGCTTCTAGTAGTTGATTTTGAGGATTTTTGGCGACCCAATAGACGAAGTTTGCACCGACATCAATCTGATATTGATATTTTTAAAGTATTATTATATTTGAAAGAGGGTTTTGATTTTATTTTGCTACAACATATTATGTTGCGAATCATGTGTTTTTTCTTTTACGATATATTTATATGTTTGGTTGATAACTTGATGTATTTGTTTTTTGATTTTGCCTTGTTGACTTTGTGTATCGTTACTAGTCTAGAGTCTAGACTTCTAGTTTCCTACAATGATATTTGGGATTTCAAGCATTTTAATGTCTTACAAGTTATAATTTTTTAACATTGGCCTAGGCGCCCGAATTCGCATTTTTGAACATCGGCCCTCACACATAGTTTTTCTTGTGATAATGTGACAATTTTCTGTCCGGCAAACTTCTTCAACCGTGTTTATTGGCTGCAAACCTGTAAAGAGTTTAATGGCTGACATGTTCTTAATAGTGAATGGTCTTTCACTGCTTTGAAAATATATGCACTAGGCTGTGCATGGAGTACTGACAGACGAGATGTACATATTATTGATGGTGGGGTAGAGAAAAGCCAGAAGACAAAGGGAGATATTAAAAATAAAAAGAGAAAAAAAGAAAAAGGGAAATTTAACTGCTGTAACTTCTCTAGCGATGTGGTCCCTAAACTCCTTTTTGACCTTGTAGGTCTGCTGAGCTGTCTGCCACCTTCTAAGGGATATTGTTACTCTCCAATGGCTTATATTAGTACTTTAAGAGAACCCCCTTCTACAATAATGGGGCCTGAGTATTGAGAAGATATCTTCCTAAGGCCAGAACGAAGAGTTAAAACTCTTTGAAACAGTAGAGTCCTCAATGCTCTCTGTACCTCAAGGAAATCTTCATCATCTCCACACTTCGATAACTCCTCCCAGCCCACTAGTTCCTGGGTTACTTATAGAAATTCTATCAAAATTAAGCTTGAGTTTTCCTTTTGGTGGGGGTTCTTGTTTGACTCTTATGGTCACTATTGGTCAATACTATAGGTCCAATTTTTTCAAAAACTTGCATCATAAAATCCTTGAAAGTCATCCACATCTAGAGCCCATGAAATGAGGAATCTCAGGGGTCCTCTCTGAGACCATCCACAACCTATAGCCTACTAATAATTGCCACTATGTTCCTAAGAATTGCCACTATGACGAGCCAGATGGGCATGGGTCCATGGGCTCACCTTAGCAAAAGCTTCCAAAGAATCTTCTTCAAAATTTTAAGGTGAATGAGAAAGTGGGAAACTATCTCTTTACCCGCCCAGCACATTAAACACATACAGGGGAATTGGAGTCCATAGTCATGGAGATAATCTCCAATTATGAAACAAATTTTTGGTGGAGCCCAAATATGATTTCTTCACATAGGAGGACATTTGTTGTGGAGTGTTCTAATAGTAAATTCCCCATTAGTGTCCCAAGACCATAAAATACTGTCATCCCTATCTTCTCCACAAGTGAAGCATGTCCCTTGTTCAACCACCAACTGATAAAGCTCTGTTGTTTCTCCCTTCCCAAGATTCCTTTTGAAGTGAGGTCACCAAATTAGGCCACCCCCTCATTCATTCACAACAGTCTTCACCTTGTCCTCAATGTTCATTGTTGGCAATTTAGATTGCTTCATTTTTGTTGTTAAAGGTTTCTCTAAGTTGTTAATGGCTTAATAAATCCTCTTTAATTGGCATTATTTAGTCTTTAGACATTGTTTCCTTGATGATAATTTTTTTTACCAATCATTCAGGCGACTGAACTTCTTTATGTATGAATTTACTTGTTCCATCCCCTGAGGCATTCTTGAATTGGCACTATTTAGTCTTTAGACATTGTTTCCTTGATGATAATTTATTTCATTCAAGAAGCTAAAAATCACGATTCATCTGATGTTTACTGTTGCCACCGTTGCTTATAGTTTTCTGTTGCCTTGCACGTGGGCCCTGGTAGGAGGATAAAATTCTTGCACAATTATTGTTTCAATACAGAGTCAAATGATGGCCTTCCTTAATGTTTTTAACATAGGATGGATTGTAAAAAAATATTTATAATGGAGGATAATGTTCCATTCTGAGTGACTCTTTATGGGCTGGAATTTCAATTCCATAGATATAGCCTCCAAAAACTAAGATTGTACTAAGGCAATGGTTGAGCTGGTTTGTGCAGACTTGGTTGGTATAACTTCTAAGAGCGATATTGGAAATGCATCACTTGCATTCTTCTTCTGTTTTGAGCTTCAATCATAATGTATGTGAACTAAGGGAAAATTTTTAGAGTGAAATTCATGAATTTGGAGCTCCAAATCACTGCCATCGCCCACCTCAAATTCATGAATTTGGGGGTCCAAAAACAGTGCAGATCTGATGATCTATGATAGAGTGAAATGTACAGTCGAAAGAGAGGGTACAAGACAGATCATTTTTAAGCTCAACTTATTTTTGTATTTATTTTGTTTTCTCAGATTCATGAGCGGTTGAGATTACCTGTAGAATTTTGGATTCAAAATCCATCTCGTAGATGGATTGTGGAAGGGTGGACTCACCACATTATGTGTCCCCTGACGCACATAAACCATACCTTTAATATATTTGTAAGGAGTGCATTGCACTTTTTCTAAGGTGCACCTGTGTAGACAATTGGGCCTGGGAGGTTTAGTGCACTCCTATAAGTCACATCTTATGTAGGAGACCATCCACTGCAGTTGTTCAGTCGAGTTCACTTTAGCCACATTCTCAGAGAAGTTTATGATATGAGGATGATGAATTACAAACCATTTTCTTTAGGGGATCCCATACCTTTGGGCTAATTGCCTCTCTCTTCCACTTTCTCTATTGTTTCATTATCTGTCTCCATACTCGATTTCGGCTTGATGGTTTACTTAGGAACAGAAGCTGCTAACCCAACTTTGCAAATCATCGGCATCATCATCATCATCAGAGGCCTTTCCTAACTACTAGGGATTGACTACACAAATCTTGCTCCGCCATTCTGCTCTATCAAGGTATCCTCAGTGAGATTATTAAAAAAAAAAACAGCCAATGCTAGATTATTAATATACAAATCAAATTAAAACTTCTCATGGAGGGTGTTTGGATGGATTTGAGGGAATAGAACAGGTTGAGGTTGTTTCCTATGTAATTTATGGATTTATTTAAAGAATCACGTGGCATGCTATGGAGCTTAACTGTTTCATCATTGTACACTCACTCTGCCATGTCTAATTGGTAGGATGAATATTCACATGAAAATCAATGGTCTAGTATTTTCTCTCTTAGTTGAATATGTTCCATCCCATCTTCTCTCTTTCCTTTCATGACATTGATTTCGGGTTTAAGCCACAGTGTGAAAATTAGGAACTAGAATTTGCATAAGAACTGAATTGTTTTTTCTTCCCATGTAGCTGGACTCTGAAAACACATACAGCATCTTCCTTTATGGTGGTGGAGCTTTGTTGGCTTTATGGATTTCATCAGTCATTGTTAGAGCACTAGACTCTATTCCTCTGGTATGTCTTTTGAGTAGTGCAGGCAATTATCACTCCATTGGGCACCGTTTCTGTTTACAAGGGCTCTTGTTGATGATTTTTTTTTTGGTATTTTGAATATTGTTTCAGTTCCCACAGGTGATGGAAGTTGTAGGCCTTGGTTTCACTGCTTGGTTCAGCTACCGCTATCTGATTTTTAAGGTGGTCTTTCAATTGCAAACCTTTCTAGACAGTCGACTTTTCATTATTTGTAATCAATCTGACATGTGTCCATATAACAGAAAAGCAGGGACGAGCTGTTGGTTAGAATTGAAGAACTGAAGCAGCAGGTTATAGGGTCACCTGATGATTGACTACAGTAATGTTATCTATCAATTTTGGCTCTTTCGACTTCCTGTCTGAGAATTGCTGCGCACCCATATGTACATTTAGCTTCATCTTTTGAAGAATGGTTTTCGAATGATTTCATCAACTGGATCTTCACTAGTTGAAATTATTTTTAGCATGATATTCTTTTGGCTCTTAACCTGTTATGGGGATGTTCATGTTCTATTTTCCATTTTCTCCATTAATGGCCCAGACCAAGATTAAGCCCAAACAAGGAAAGACAATCAACAGATCTTTTAGCAATTTGAAGTCATTTATCACATTTTACTCTGTTTTAATTCTTGAATGGGTCTATTTTGGCATTTCTCTTTCTGCTAAATTTGCATTAGGGCATCTTTTGATGACAATTATCTGATACCAGTTTAATCTAGACAATATTATTAGGGAAAAGTTTATATAGAGCCGAGGCTCTAAACAATCAAATTAGAGCCTACCTCAAAAATTTCTTTGGAAGAGGTTGTTTTGATGCCCAAATATCCTCAAATTGATAATCTTGACACCAAGATGCATGGACACGAGAAAAAAAATGGATTTCAAATTTTGGAAATAGTATATTTTGTAACGCATATTTGGACCGTCAATTTTCAGGATTTTCAAGTTTTCATAGATTTGTCGATCTACATTATTTTTGAAGCTTTAAATTTTATAAATAAAGATGAAAATATATTTTAAGACCATCACAAAGATTTTCATGAAATCACATATCTCTACACTACTTGATGGTAGGCTTTAATTTGATTGTTTAGAACCTGGGCTCTATACAAACCTTACCCATATTATTATGTTAGCTCTTTGATACATATATAATATTATTTGTCGATTTATAACAATTTTCAGCTATTTCTATCGAAAAGCATGTGGGTTTCAGTAGATTACTTAGTATAAAGGAAGAAACGACTTTTCAAAAAGATAAGACCTGTATTTAGTTGGTGCTCCTAACTCCCAAGTCCATACTGATAAGTAACCGCTATGGCCACTAAAAATTTGGCATGGAGCATTTGAATGCTAGTTTTTTTTTTTTTTTTCTTTTTTTCTTTTTTATCCAGTGGATTAGCAAAAACTTGGGTGAGTATAGCAATTCGTTGTTAATATACTTCGTGAGAAAAATCACATTTGTTGTGGATCGTTATGAGTTAATGCTGGAAAATGGTCATAGTGATATTCAAACATTTTATAATAATTTATTTAACATGAATTTAGGTTAATGAAAGAATGACATGCAGATCTAGGAGGTACGTTTGTGCTAATTGCGCAGAATATTGCAAAAGGAAATCCAATATAGCCTCGCTTACAAGGAAATAGGGATGCATACCGCTCCTAGAGGCTTTATCAATCATTTTAAGTTATTTCTAGCTAGTAATATATCATTTAAATAAAACCACATATAATGAGATATTATAAACAACAATGATCTAATCTACTCATTTAATATCCCATTTAAAGGATAACGTTGTGAAAGGTCAGGTACCGTTATCTACAAAATTGTTTATATACCTTATCTTCCTAACCCATAAAGCCGGTTGTTTCATGAATGGTTTCTTTTAATTTAATTAGGGATGGTAATCACCTGACCGGTATTCTCGACCCGGGTTCGGCTATGGTTCAATTGGATTCGATGGGTGGGATCCAAGTCCAAATCTTGGATGTAAACACTACTTGGGTACGGGTGTTAGTCCATCTAGCCCTAACTTGGACTTGACCTGAATAGTATTGATATTTTTAAAAAAATTAATATATGATATCTAAATAATATTTAGTTAAATATGACTATTATATTTTTAGTCATAATATTTAAATAATAAATGTATATATTTAACATAGGAAAATTGTTTCATGTTGATTGGACCCTATTTCTACAATATGCGGTCCAAAGGTATAAAGCATCCATCTGAAAGACTGATGCAAATATGCGGTCCATCTAACTTCCTGCTCCTCCTCCTCCTCCTGCCTTTCACTCTACGACCTTTCATCTCCTCTCTACTTGCCCCCACCTCTACTCTTTCCGACTGCCCTTTCTCCCTTCGGCTCTTGCTATCTCTCTCCAAATGCCGAGATCGCTTCTCTCGTTTTTAGCCGCATCCTCATTAGTTATTTTTTTCATGCACTTGGTTTTTATGCGGCCAAGCCCGCATATGTAGAAATGCAAGCCTCTTAATAAATCTATTCTTGAGATGGATTTTAAGGTAATTTTTAAGTACATGTAATCTCTAATATGACGATCATGAATATGAATAAATAAATAAATTTTAAAAACTAAAAATAATAGTTCTAGTAAGAAAACATTTGGATTGATTGTTTCCATTGTTTTTAGATAGAACACCTACTTGCATACATCTTTAAAATAGATGCTTTACACTTTCTAGACCGTAATGTAGAAATGCGGTCCAGCCCTCATGAAACAATTTTCCTTTTTTTCATTTATCAGAGTGTTATGGGATGATAAGGTAAGACACCTTTCATCCTATTGCCCAAGGAAAGCTCTCCTTATGGATTGACCCAATGATGGGCATCCTATTACCCAAGGAAAGCTCTCCTTAGGGATTGACCCAATGATAGAAAGACGATGGGCTGAAGATTTAAGGGGTTTCCAACGACCATAATTCTTGTGTTGGTAGAGAGAGATAGGATGATTGAATAGGCTGAGGAATTAGGGATTTCCAAACTCCTAATCCTCAAGTTGGTGTCAATGGCTGAAGATTTAAGGGGTTTGGAAACCCTAATCTATGTGTTGGTAGAGAGGGTAAGAGAGAGAGAGAGCAATTGATTCAATGGGTTGAGGAAGGGGGGTTCTTTCCAATCCTCTAAACCGTTTGTTGGTGTGTGAGACACTGAATGAGCGATTGATTCAACGGGTTGATGATTAATGGGCTTCCAATCCCCTACTTCTTCCATTAGTGTGGAGATAGAGGGAGAAGTTGGGCCGGAGGAGCGCAAATAGGCTTAAAAATATATAAATGCTAATTGGGTGCTTTTACCGGTTGTCCGGTTATATTTTCTTATAGATATCCAAATCTCAATACGAGTATAAACTAACAGTCAAGAGTTGGGGTCCTATGGACCGAATATGAATATGTTTAAGGGTAAAGGGTTATATTTAAGTATATAGATATTTTGATCTTTGGGTATGATCGGGTCCGAGTTCAAGTCCCATATTATATTTTCAGGTCTGAATCCCACATGATCGAATTTTTTGTAATCCATGATCGAATTGTTTTTTTTTTTTTGTAATCCATGATCGAATTTTTTGTTTTTTTTTGTAATCCATGATCGAATTTTATGTAATCCATGATGAAATTTTTGTAATCCATGATCGAATTTTTTGTAATCCATGATCGAATTTTTTGTAATCCATGATTGAATTTTTTGAAAATTTGTGATTTGTTTTTTTTAATCCATGATCAATTTTTTTTTTGTAATCCATGATCGAATTTTTTGAAAATTTGTGATTTTTTTTTTAATCCATGATTGAATTTTTTGAAAATTTGTGATTTTTTTTTTTTAATCCATGATCGATTTTTTTGAAAATTTGTGATTTTTTTTTTTTAATCCATGATCAAATTTTTTTTGTAATCAATGATCGAATTTTTTGAAATTTTGTGATTATTTTTTTTTAATCCATGATCGAATTTTTTAAAGACCAAGAAGAACAACAACGTCGTCTGTCATTTTATTTGTAGATCGTATGTTACTAATTGTATGCTTTATTGTAGTCCATGTATGTTGATATACTTATTCCATGATAATTCTATATTTATCCTTTTGTGTGATGTAAATTAAATGCTGAATAGTAGTTCATGCAGGGAAAGAACATATCAATATTCGCATATTCATGCAAAAACATAAAAATTCTTTATGGGGTACCCTCATTTCTTATTGAATTATTAAAAAACAATATTTATAATGAATTTTAATAAATTTTTCGGATTTTTTTGAAGCTTTATTCTGACCGATTCACTCGATTCCCGATCCGGATCGCCGATTCGTCGATTCGGATCGGTTTTTGAGGTGCCCGATCCGGGTCACCGATCCGTTTTTTAAACCATTGATCCAAACTAATAAATAAATAAACAAGAGAGCATATTATCTATTTGTTTGTTTAATTTTTCCCTCAAAAGAAATATATTTTAAATTGCATACTTTATGTGCATGAAAAATTGAAATACCAAGATTGAATATTAATGGTGCAATTTTTGGATGGCAAGATTTAAGTGTTTAAGTACTGAAAATAAGATTGAATACGCGGTCCTAAGGTATAAAGCATCCATCTTACACATGGATGCAAATAGGTGGTCCATCAAAAAACAATTGAAACAAACAGTTCAAATGTTTTTATTATAAAATTATTGTTGATAATTATAGAAACTAGAGATTGAGTTTCTTGTATATTATAATATATTAAATTTTTTATATTGAGTTTCCTATTTTGTGGGATTTACTATTATAGTGAGATTTGTTTCTTAAAAAATAAGAATTGTAATTCTATAAATATCTGATAAACTAGAATAATCCCTATAAATGAGATAGTGGTTTATCCTCTGTGAACGTAAGTACTATTATCGAACCACGTATATGTCTTGTCAATTCTCTTTGTTTCTCTCGTTCGTCTCTATTGATTTTATTGTAAATTCTACATGATATCAGATGAGGTGATTTATTGATGGCGGTTGATAGCTCTATAGCAAGGTTTTTGTTCTTATCAAATTCTTGTCTATTTTCAACAACTTTATTGATTGTTATCCTTGTTGGTCCATTGAGCACGCCCTAGATAGAGAGAGAGTATATTGCAAAGCTTTTGAGAAGTATCTTCACCGTCTTTGTAGCATATTGCAAAGCTTTTTGATATGTTATCTTTAACGCAATAGTTATGTTGCAAACTTGAGCACAAAGTTTTGACCACGTCGAATATTTATGTTGCAAGTTGAGCTCAATTGTCGATTGAAGATGCTGCTAAAAAAAATTTAAATCCATGATTGCTAGCAAGGATTGGGTTCTCTGGCAAATAAGCAAATCTTGAAAATTTAAATCCATGATTGCTAGCAAGGATTGGGTTCACTGGCACATAAGCAAATCTTGAGGAGTTCATCAAGCGCTCTGTGAAGTGGTAACCCCATGCGTCTCTTGATCTATCGCCATATCGATGCAAAGGGAACTTTTGTAGTCTTGATCGTGTTTCCATCTGTA